TCCGTGTTTACGGCTACCTGATAGTGATAGTCCCCTCTTGAGAAGTACAGTACGCTCGCTGATACCGAAAACGTTTACCACGGCCACTTTGTACATGCCGAAGTCACGTGTGTTTGGTTCCGTGATCCTGAGCGTGGTTCTAAAACCGTCCACAGCCACATCAGGGTCACGCTCACTGGTGACCTTAGTTGGGGTCAAGGTCAGTGTGTGGGTGTTGTCTTCTGGAATGATGACGTCATTTTTACTCCAATACACCGCGCGGTGTTGGGTACTAGATATAAAATTCATGGACATCACCGCCACGTGCTCTGTCTTTTTGATGGTGACCGTCTGTGATAGAGAAGGCGTTGCTGTAAAAATGAAAATGAAAAGCAAAATAAATGTCACAGCAATCCTATCAAAAGGCATCCGTGCGTCAGTGCACTAGAGCAACGGTTAGAGGCGATCTTGTACGTAATGTATTAGGGATATAGACACCTATCTAAGTCTGTCTGTACCTTTATACTAGAACATCATTAAAATGATACGTCAGGTACACGACATATTTAGACAAGTTACGATCTGTTACATTGTACATGAAAAATGGTTTGGAATATAATTCAAAATGACCTCTTTGGAAACGCTATCAAGTACCAAGTTACTGTGACCATGCTGTTTTAACCCTAGTAGAAACATACTTTGACCACAGGGACCTGATCATTAGTTACAGCTATGTTTGGACCTAAACTAAAGTGTTCAGAGTAATTACACGTTTTAGGGGGTTGGATCAACTTTCGATGTCATCATTGTTTGATCTATATTTTTTACCGAAGGTTGATCTAAGGCCCTAAAACGTGTAAAATTAATCTTTAAACTTTAAGGTCCAAATATACATGTAGCTGTAACAAATTATCAGGTCCCTGACATGTTTCAGGAGCAAATATAATCTTTGATCAGTCGATCGGTCCCCTTACAATTCTTCGAATCAAATTTAGAGTACATGTATATAACTCTTTCTTCAGATGAATTGCAGAAACAAATGACAGAATTTGGTTGTGTTTAATGAATGAAACGAATATCTACAGTTGTTGCGTTAGAATTCAGTCAGCAACTGTAATTAAATCAACTCATAAAATTAAGTTGGTATACAGTGCTGTAGGTTAACGCAATATTTAATATTGATGGTCTCACGATACCCCTAGTCCGGCTGTAAGCCAGATGAAATCCTCGTCCCGGTGCAGTGTCGTCTGTCTTAAACTCGATAACAATGGAATTTCCGGACGCCATGATGACCTGTGGCTCTTCGTGCCCTGATAACTTGGCCAGCACTGGGTCAAACTCGCTATCACCTTTTGATTGACGCGAAAAAATGAAATCAGTTCCAATTCACATAGATAATTGAGTTTACTACATGCAATTCGATTCTTTCATTATTGTATTCAGAGATAATGACCCCACTACAGGATACCGAAAAAAAATGAAAGCAAGCACTATAGACTAACAAATCTCTTATTTTAAAGTAATTATTTATTCATAAAATTAGAATACCCCAACAAATTGTTTTTGTATGTATTGCTATGCTTCAACTGATGGCAAATATATGCAGAAGAATTTTTAAGCTTAGAAAATATTCAAACATATCCTCAATCCTAATATTTGTGTTTTGCGTATTTACCATAATAAGGAAGTATGACCTGAAAATATAAAAGCGATGCAGAACAGTTGCGTCATTGTTTTTCGTAAGCATATATAAAATCTATTGGCTGAATAAGGCTGTAGAATAATTCATTTTTTGACGTTTTGACATCAAAGACACCTACCGTCATAGATGACGAGGTGGTCGTAAGTTTCTTCTATTGACAGTGCATGAATAGTGACCTGTATGACGTCATCATTACATATGTCATCGGAGATGATATTCCATTTACAATCCAATGAACTGAAATATACCATTACTCTGTAGCTTATCAACACAGTTGCATTTCGTGTATTTGCTAGACATACATTTTTCCATCAGGCATGGTGATATGCAAAGGAATAATCCGAAGTTTAAACAAACGTAGTTTAACCTCAACATCGATTACACTGGGGTTATATAACTGTATATTGACCCAGATACCATTGAAAAGGTTCACGGGAATTAAACCAGGTATCTCAGAAGGGACAATGTCCATGATGTAAACTGAGATCAAATTCAAGTATTGCCACGTCCTTAAAGCTAGGACTGGGTCTCAAGTCACAACATAATACACATGTACATAATATGTATAGTGATAAACATCGCTTTTCGTATCAAACATATCAGGAAATATAATATTACCAGTTAGCTCATCTTGTCGACCATAACACCTCCACATGGTCTTCATCAGTCATAGTAGTATAACTAACACTATCTTATGCAAGTACGAAGCTTGTTTGCTTCTAAATACAAAGCTACTATTCATGCACTTAGGAAGCAATGCTTCTTTTACCTAATTTTTAAATAGCATTTATTTTGATAAAGAAACTTTGAAATTGATATACTTTGTTTATTTTCAAGTAAATTGTATTATTTAAAAACATTTTTTTGTGAAAAAGCATTATCCAAATTCCTGACTTTAATTTTATGATGACTAAACTCACTTACTGTCTATATTATATTGTAGTGTATAGTATACATAATATTGTATTGTATAGTGTACAAAATATTGTATTGTAAAGTATACATTATATTGTATTGTATAGTAAACAGTATATTGTATTGTATAGTATACAGTATATTGTATTGTATAGTATACAGAATATTGTATTGTATAGTATACATACATGTAATAGTGTATTATATATTACACAGTATATTGCATTGTATAGTGAAAAGAATATTGTATTTGAATTTTAAAACGTGACAACTAATATCAGAACCTACTTGCTGTATTCTCTTGGGTATCCGGGAGATGTAATGAAGTTTGGTTTCTGGACGGCTATTAGAGTTACCTTCCCACAGGTATCAGATACAGAGTTTCCAATAGTTACACTGTTCCCAGCGTTTGTAGGCAATGCACCTGCAATGAGAGCGACATACTCACTATGTCCAACGTAATTGAGGTGGCAAGAATATTCAGGTATCCTATATGTTTGTATTTTTGAGTCGGTTAGATAGGTGGACTGATTGTTCAGTTCGTGTAAATATATACTGTTAATCAACAATAAAAATGACCAGATAATCTAGGTTTGCATACTTATGTCGTTAACTTATTTAGGTAAATTTATTATGTAAGTAAATGATCAATAATTCGCTTTCATGTTAATAAAGCAAACACGATGGCTATCTCGCTGAGTCGATACACTACAACTATTACTGGTACTCACATTATTTTTATATATTTTTTTACACGAATCACTTTTGTGTGGTTACTATTTCCGGTTCAGGACGTTACCTTTTCTCAACTTCCACCTGAGTATTCTCGTACTAACAATCCATGATAATGAATATATCATGCTACCGGTAGGTGGTATGAAGAAGGATACAGATAATAATCCGATTTTTTTTTCATGAAATGATCTAGGAAATGATGGTGTCATCGACTCGAATCGAACGAAAAAAACAACACTATTATTGCATTCTGTAGAAAACACTTTCGTCTCAAAGTGTTGTCTTAAAGTCAATAATATCGTCGTCATCGAAAAATTGGCTCTTTATCATCATCATTATCCATGCAGCATCAGGAACAATTGCAATAATGATTGCAGTACATTATATTAGAGTAACAGTGGGTTCGAGTATACAAAACATTTACCTTTGGGTGTATTACGATAACGTAGTGTAAAGAATCGGCGGCTGTGGGAGTTTTGTGGGAACAGGACAACTACAGTAGTAAATCTTCCAGATGACCTCCTGGCTTCAAAACCATAACGATGACGACGATAATGAGAATACATCCGATTGTTGTCCCTGACGTATTTTTCAATAGACGGATATTGCGCAGAAGGCCCTGCAGTAACACAACGAAGATGTAAATTAAATTGGTTGGTTGGTGGGTGGGTAGTAGGATTGGTCGGCGGGCTGGTTTGGTGGGTGGACTGATAAGTTGTTTTGGTTGCTTGGTTGCTTGGTGTGGGTGAGTGGTAGGGTGGGTTGGTTAATGGTGTGTGCGTAGTTTTTGTGTTGGGTGGGTAGGTTAATTGGTTGGTTGGGTGGGTGTTGGTTTGGTGTGAGGGTGAGTTGGTGTTTGGGAGGCAGACTGGGCTTGTTGGTTGGTTGGTTGGTTGGTTGGGGGGAGGGGGTGGCTTTGTGCTTGGTGGGTGGGTGGATTGACTGGTCGGTTGGCTCACCAAAGCCAGGGTCACAGGAAGGAGATCGTCGAAAGGAAGGAGCATGGAAGTGGAACAAGAAAAACGACACAGACCCCAAAGTGTTGCATAGCAGAACCTTTATATTCTCTTTAATGTCCACCAAAAAAAAAGACACACAAGACTGTGATCCCCTCCACCCCCTACTCTGAATATGTGTTGACCAATGTATTGCATAAATCATTGAGTAATGTGTACAAGATGATGCACAGTTAACAAGAAATATATTATATTAAGAAAATACTTACTGAGTCGGGATGAACTGATATGGATATACATGTATAAGGAGACATATAACGTAAGCAAATTATTTTGAAACATACCCTGAAATCTAGGTTACATGGCCAATTTATTAAAAAATGGTATAACCTTGACCAGCAGAACCACTTACCTAATTTGAAGAAATATTTAGGTCAAGCAGAATACTTGAAAACAAACTTAGGAATATGGAAAGAGAAATGATATGCAAAGTTAGGAAACTAAATTCTCTATTCTAATAGACTTTAATATATGAAGTGGAAATCATAAATAGATAAATTTTAACATCAAAAATCCCTGTGTATACGTTCATATTCATATGGTAATACATTTTATAGTATAGACATGTAATTCAGTCTTATTGTTCTCTGACACCAAATATCACCTAGCAGACTCCCAATACATTACCTGTGTACATGAAAATATCAAATGTATGCTAGGTGAGACGACACCCCCGAATCCCATCCTGCGCCCATCCCCGATTTTGAATGGGGGCTCATATTAGTCGCATTAGTCGCCCCTTAGGATAATACAATGTATATTAGAACTGTTAGGCGTTTAAAGTAATATATCAATACGTTGTGAGATACGGACGACATTACATCGATATTTAAAATATCTGAAAGAAAACCAGAAAATGTACGTATATAAACGACAATCCCCTAAAGATAGATAGACCTCTGAGTTAAAGTGTATCGCATGTAAACAAAAATATTACGAAAACTGTTACCATCATAGATGCCCACTGAATCCATGTGGCGTATAGTACTCCAGATTTTATCATCCACTTCTACCCCCCCGCCGCAGTCCTCATTTTGTATCACTACAGTACAAATGTGGTCTGAACTGAAAATAAATACATTTATAAATCAGAATTCTGTCGTATCCCATAAGCTGTAAAGTAAGATCTATTGATCCAGTCAACTACGGAACAGTTTATCAGAACCCCGTTTCCTTCCAAAGACATTGACGTTAACTTTCCCACGATGTCCCACTATCCAGTCGGTATCTTACGGAACAAAGAGACTAACCGAATATGTCCTAATAATCGTACAATCCAATGCTGTTGCCGAGAACGAAGGCAGCTGGATGATGAAGGTTCAGCCGTTTACATATGGTTTGACAATTTCGCCTTAAATGAGTTCTAGAAATGTGATTTACTTAAACTATATTTGTAAAAACTATTGTAACGTTCATGTAAATTCACACTAAACTTATAGCTAATATATGTATCAGACATAGTTAGCAGAACGAGTAATTTAAATGATATATAGTATTCAATATAAGTAATATACACTTAAAACGACAATACCATAATTATCAAACTCAAAGTAGTGTAAGTAACCAATATGTGATACTAAGTCAAGATGGGTTGTCAAAGGCATTGACTCTGTCCACCTCTAAGATAGCAGTGTACAATGGCTATACCCTACAAATAACGGGCATGTCTCAGATAAACATGGATAGTGAATTCAACTTGCACAACACACTTACATATATATACATATTTATAAACTACATTTTGATTTAATTTTGGTTAGAAAACCTTTTTTTTCAACAACTGTTTTCTCCAGATTTGGGACTTGTAAAAAACCATGGTTACCATATCAAAAAACACCAAAATATGCCAAAAAACATGATTTTTAACCAAAAAATTTGACCCCCGCAAGTAGTGACTTTTTTCTTAAAACCCGTCTGAAATTAAATACCGCCTACTCGGTAACAGAAATACTCACGTATGAGCATAGGTCATTCCGGTGGACTTTTCACAATATTTACACATGTGCTGAATACAAAAATAGACTACATGAAAAGCTAGCTTTTGTTGTGTAGACACAGATTTGTAAATGCCCAAAACTCTAGTCTCAAACCAAATTCGTTTTTTTTTTTTTAAATTATGAAGCCCACATAGTCCCCTTCATCATGTATATGCCAATTTTAGTGCCGTTTGTTTTTAAATGTTGATACATGTTATATTACAGGGGTTATTCATTGTATCAAAAATATTACCCATGGTCATTGTGCTACTGTACACTGCTACCTAAAGCAGCCACCAATGACTTCATTATTTGCATGGAAATAGTGTGCAAAGTACACGGTCCCAAACTCGGAGTCGGCAACTCAATCTCGCAGAGCTGTATAAAACGGTATGCCCTCGCATCACTAACGGGTTACCGTGACTGTTACGTGGCACAGTCGGTATCCTGAAATATTGGCAAGGTGTGTTACTGTACATACTGAATACCATCCGGCGTATGTTGGTGACGCCCAAGGGCAAATCACTTACCATGCGGGCTGCGGGGGACACGGGTGTCGGAACATCACCGTGACTCCGACTGAGGGCCAATGTGGTTGACCACTCCAACATATTTAGTTAGGACAACATCAGGACGTGTGCTAGTTCCAAAGGGCATGCAATGAGGTGATATTCATCGCTGCCTTCAGACCAATTTTCAACACCTTTTTTAGTCACCTAACTGGGGATGATCTCCAGCCAGAGGGCTAAACATCAGTACGCCAGCTGTCACCTTGTCAGTAGCTTTTTCAAGTCCATATCAACATGAATTTACCGAAACAAAAGTCCTGAATTGTTAAATAAGAGTAAAATTACGTATTTATTAGAGAGCATTACGACGTTCCAATTGAAACGTGAACTTTCAGCAGAAACTAAGATATCTACTCAATTCGCCATATCCCGAAATTTGAAATATGGGGGGGAAAAAGTCATGATTACCCCCAAAAAGAGTCCTAAATGGAGAGGAAGCAAATGAAATAATAAATAGAAAGTACACAACTACACAGGTTGACAGGGGGTAGTTATCATTTACTCTGTAAAGTGTCCCTTAAATCGGCATGGTTCTTTAGGAAGAGTTGTCCGGACAAGGATTTTTCAACAAAGGGCAACAACTCCATAAAAAGGATCGAAATGCAAAATAATACACGGATGCACAACGGCAGAGGGTAGTTACCATATAAATAAACTTTCGCTGAAATCGGCACACAGTTTAGGAGGAGTTGTCGGGACAAACATTTAACATCAAAGGACCATAACTCCATCAAAAAGAATCCGATTGATAAAATGACTACTTGGATGCGCAACATCAGGGGGTAGTTACCATATAGGTAAACTTGCGTTGAAGTCCGCGCATAGTCATAGTTTAGGAGAAACTGTCAGGGCAATGACAACAAGGAGCAATAACTCAATAAAAAAGATAGGAATGAAAAAAGAACATTAGGGGATAGTTGTTTAGTTATCATATCTGAAAACTGTCTTTGAAATTGCCCCCGTAGTTTTGGAGAAGTTGTCCAGACAAATATTTTCTACGGACAGACCGACGGACAGACACGCTGATTCAATTATAACCGACCCCCCACCCCTTTCGTTGCGGGGGTATATTGACGTTATAAAGTGAATACCGACCTGCCATTTCTGAAATAGCAAGACCAAATCAATAGCAGAGATCACCGTCCTCCACATGATTATAATTCAACCAGTGAGGATGTAGAGAAAATGTGCGTCATCGTATATGAATAATTTATAATTACCCTCATGTTAAATTATATGTATTACACTATTTGCTTAAAATGCCAAGATTCAACTTAGCAGTTGTTAAATAGCCCAAATATTTTCCCTTCAACTAGTGTTATGGATATGTATATAATATATAAATGATACCTGAAAGCTCCACTGATGACCAGATCGGTGTAGGTTGCTGATGACGTCAGAAAGTTCTGTCCTCCAACGCATTGGCTCGGGGAAATGATCACTGAAAATATCGACAGTCGTTGTATAAACATTAACTAAAGATTCCATAAAAAGTCAACCAGCTAAAGGAATAAATATTTATAGACACTGATAAAATGTGGACATGTTGAAGCAGATTTAACCTCTATTTGTATCTAAACAGTAAAACCTTTATATTAACTTAAGTTACATTTGAATTTACGATATACTTTGTTTAAAAGTAAACAGAATAGGTATTGGTCAATCGTTGAGTTCAAAAATATAACTTGATTGAAAATAAAATAACTATAAAAATAATTATAAAAGACCGGTTTATCACACTTGACACATCTGACATCTATGTTGATGAATATTCCATTAAAGCCCTTTGTTAACCCTTAATTCCCGAAGGAGACATGTGACATACCAAAACTACAAGTACAATAGTTCGTTAAAAGACTATTGTTTAGAACAATTTAACTCATCTGAATGGTAACCTTTTATTTCAATACACCTTATTTTCGGAAATAAAATAGCTCCTGTTATATGTCCGTATGTGATGCGGGTTTAATTATGGTTCTGCACTGTCCGTCCGTCTGTCCGTCCGCATTTCGTGTCATTGTGTTACCCTTGCTCGGATTATTTATACTTTCGAGGACTGTTGCCCACAACCCAGGGATATGCCTTGCTTCAAGGTTATATCCAAATGGTTCAGGTCATGGTGCATCTTGTCCGACTCATAACTGTGTAGCTCCGACTTTGATTTGTATAAACCACTAGGGGAGTGTTGTCTACAACGCAAGATTCAGTCATGATGTTTAATCAAGGTCACATCCCCAAAGTCAAGATCGCTAACCTGCGTCACAGGTAACACTCTTATGAACTGTGACACAAAGCTTTAGGTACCAGGTAACAATCTTATGAAGTGTGACATAAAAACCCTAGGCACCAGGTAACAATCCTATGAAGCGTGACACAAAGCCTTAGGTCCCAGGTAACGATCTTATGAACTGTGACACATAGCCAGGGGTCTAAGGTAACAATTTTGTTAACTGTGACACAGATTCATGCAAAAAAACAACCAAGTATGACCCGACACACTTTCAAAATGTCAATGTTTCACGATCGCTAATTTAGGATTATGACCTGCGATCAGGTCATCACACACTTTGGGTCAAGGCCAACATGTTTAAGCAACACATACTAACACTGGTTAGACCATAACTCGATTTAACATGTATCAACATGTTGATCATCATTCTCCATATGAATGCTATTCAGTATATTACCTTTGGTGTACAGCACTAACTTCGAAACCGTTAAAGTTTGAACAAAAATAGTCATTAATAATAATTTAGTCTGTATTTTCAATATATCACAGTACAGACGTATTATGTGCACCCGTTTAACGGTGCCTATTTTTTCAGCAAGTCACACGAAATGATCAGCGTCCTACGGAAGCCTATACGTGATAACTATCTCGTTATAACAAGATGGCTATCTCGTTATAACGAGATAAGAAAAACAATCAAGATGACACGTATAGGCTTCCGTAGCGTCCTATGCCTTTTTGGGAAACGAGAGATTGTTTGAATATTTAAATATATTTAGCGACTGTAAACTTAGATAAACGTTAAGGTAAACATACCTGACAATATTCATGTTATTTGTTTTAGAAAAAAGTCGTTTGACAATTTCAATGTGCTGTATTTTACCATTTTGGCCCTAAATAAGGTCTATTGTTATACATCATTTTGTTTCCATTCGGTGAGCTTTGACCCATTGACGTAAATAACATTTCTGTTTGCATAACACGGATGACCCCATCACATTGTGTATTTACACGCTGTCGGGCCGCATTACGTAATACCTAATTCTTTTTGAATTTTTGTTCTAGTCCGCCATCAGAGCATTGTTATTATGGTAGTTCAAATGAACATTAGGCATTATTGCATTTTTGTAAAAGAAAATATATAATAGCAACATATTGCATGTAAAATTCTACAAATTGAATTGTGTTTTATGTTTTTGTTTTGTTGCTACACTGTTGCTAAGACCTCAAACGGAAGTTTCACATGTTCACGCAAAACGCGATGTTCTCTTTACTGCGTTGTCCCTTGCATAAATAAAGAATTATACCAGCGGGGCCTGATCTTTGTTATTTTCACTTGCATCCATGGTTTTAATGCATAAAGGAATGTAAATAAACGAAATGTAATTAATTTTATGAGAAAAGAAAAAAACAAGAAAATAACAAATTTGAACTCAAAATCGATAAAATTAGGGCAAAATAATAAAGAAGGATTTACATGGAGACCCTTGAAAAAGTGCAAAGAGAATAAAACCAGGTGATCCAGTAAGTTAGCGTCTTCTGCTTTATCGACGACACCCGTCGAGTAAGTCAAAAGGTGATGTTTTGTTAAAAACTATAAAATAACTGTTTTCATGTTGATATTCAGTTTAATTCAGTGCTGTCTCATTAACACTGGTGTATGTTAACGGTGACAAAAATACGGGCACTGGCCTTTCAAATAGTGACATAAAATACAACCTTCCCTGCAATAATCCTTTAAATATGTCTACAACAGTGACCTTTGACATTTTTACATAAACTCTTATATTTTGTCCCTCTAAAACATTGCTTTATGAAATATGGCATTAAGACAAGGTGAACATTACCCCTGGCAAAGTGACAACAAATGCTTTTTAATCATCATCAACAGTGAAATATGTTTGAACATGGGTTTCATATAATGACAATAAATTATTCCTTCAAACATAAATCCATGTGATACATTTGTATAGCAACAAAGAGCCAAGCCGTTGTCATGGTCACATTCTTCTTGACTACAGTCGATGTATTAACAATAACTGATAGTTAAGTTTCTTTTTTTCTATCAAAACATGAAGTCTACTAACCATTGTCAAACTGTGGTCCCCGGAGACAAGAATTAAAATCAAAATAAAGTTTTAATAATTTCTTATGTGCAAAGACAGATTTCAAAATGTGATATGAAACTAACCTGCTCAAAAAGAAAAAAAGTTTGACGTATCGCCTTTTTGGCCAATGACTCTCACATGGAACATATGCATATTCATTTAAGGGATTTTAGTTCATAGATAAGTATGTATTGGTTTTTTTGGTTGTTTGATCCTTTGTGATAGAGGGCTTTAATTTTCAAATACGGATACAACGTGACCACTGGGTACTGATATGGAAGAATTCATCGATAAAACCTTAGCTCCCCTGATTGACAACAAACAACGTGATACAACTTGTCGTAGATATCGGATCATCATACAACCGACAGTGTAGCTATATAAATATTTTGTGTCTGTATTCATAAAAACATATTCTCATGCACAATGCAATGTTCTGTGCTCAAGCCCATTTCTCGTGTCCAGTAATTTCAGCAAGTTTAGTTCAAAGAAAATAAGTTTGAGCACAGAGTTAAATTCAGGGTAATACATGGGAACGGGCCAAGTACGTATATTAGAATGATTGCAATAGAAAGTATTGTGATAGCGGAATACAGTAATAAATGTTGTTTGGATTAAGGCATAATTCGAAGAAAATAATTAATAAACGTCTATATTCAAACATGTACCACTTACCTCCTGATGACGTCATCAATAATGTCCAAATCACTATCAGGTAACATTGTATTAGTCCCATTCCATGTCGAGGAGACATCTTGATTACTATGATACACAGATGTGTTACAGAAGTGAGATGACAGCTTTATAAATGCATTTGTAAATGTGACCTCAGCGTATGAAAGAGGCCCGTTATGGGGAACGATGTTTTCAATTCGTCAGCTTTTTAACATCAAAATATTATTTCAATTTTAGAATTAACAAAACAACACACTATCAATATAAGCGCCCGGGCAGTTATTGTATCCCTTACATGAGCGGGCTACTAACACCCCATTATAATTAGTCCTGCATTACTGTGGTTTCTTAACGGATCATCGATCGGTTGGTTCGTTTCTCTTTAAGAAGATCCTTAAAATGTAAATATCCATATCTATGACGTAACCACCAGCCCTCGTTGGCTTCGAGGGGCTAGAATGAATAGTAATTCAGAGATTGGCTGATAATATCATGTGTTATTTGTTAAAGTTTTAGAGAATAATGTGTAGTCCTACAACACAAAGCCGTAGAATTTTTGTATTCGTACACCAAAACATGAAGGGATTTCTTTTTATATATACCTACAACACAAAAACCAACATGTCTTGATGATTTGACAATAGTGATGGCATTGGATTGAATTGGATTTATTAAACAAACTCGATAATTGCATGCAACATGAGGCTCTTTGAGAGGTATTTTGAACAATTATGCATCTTTGTTGAGGTGAATATGTGGTTTTATAGACCATAACTAAAATGATATATAACCATTACGATCACGAAACAACATTGCAGGTCCATATATTAACATATTCACTGAAAGTTTCTCCTTCTTATATACACTTATGCTGTTTATCATTAAAAACAATCAAATATACGAGAATTGTTAAGAGAAATGTGGTGCACTCGGAAAAGACAATTTTGATATTGCCATTGAAGTGACGTCATACATATTATATTGACTTTCTGTTTAAAAAAAACATACATATACCTTTTTGATATGATGAATTGTCGACCTAAACATGAATATAACGTAATAATAGGGGAAGTGTGCACTTATAATTATTAAACACTTCGACAGTTTTAGGGAGCAGCTTTCCTATCAAGAGAACTATGTTTAATGGAGTGTGCTTAAAAAAGTTTTTTTCAGACATGAACATCAATTTGAATATGGGAATATCCTGAGATTTTGTCATTATATTTAACCATTGTAATACATTATATGAATTTCGTGCCTTCCTGTGACCTTGCATTGAAGTGAAAGCGAAAGCAGAGGGTCCTTCCCAGAAGTCACCGATAATGTGACTTTCTCAAAACAGAAATTTAGGCCATGACCAGATATCAGCGAAGCATATGTATCGGACTTTGTCAAAACAGAAATTTAGGCCATGACCTGATGTTGACGAAAATGTATCGGACTTTCTTAAAACAGAAATTTAGGGCATGACTTGATGTTAGCGACAGTGAACGTTACTGGTACATCAACTTTCAGAAAAAACCCTGCACGTGGGTAATAGGAACGGGTTAAACTGAATGCTCTCCGACCAGTCATCCACTTACTATTTCCGAATGCATAGCACCTCTTTTGGGTGTGTCAATCGGAAACCACTCGAGCCTTTCAAAATACCTCATTGTGACCTTAATACTCATTTACATACTTCCTTCCAATCATTAAACTATTAACATGTGATGGTCAAGTGGAGGGCCTTCACGTGCTGCTATATATATATATATATATCACGTGAAATGGTGGGAAATTGTTTGAAATTGGTGATATTCGCAAGAAAGCATTTAAAATATTGCAAAGATAATCTCGATAATCTGCCGCTCGACAAGACCGCCGAATACGGCTATTGCATCTGCGTAATTAGACTAGCTACCAGTCCCTCAGTTTGTATGAAGAAATTATCAACTGCATTTTACTAATAGCATATCTCCCCCTAGTTTAGAGCTTAGGAATCTAGAATCAGACATCCAAGTGATCAAAATTATTTAAGTTATTTTTTTCTAAATAATTCAATATTCTAGAGACGGGGGCCAGTCAGCTGTGTAATAGAGAGATCGCGAGTACATAGCTTGGTAATCGTGTATCTGCTCGAACTATCAGAAAGCGCCGCCCACATGATCATCTTGACACAACGTCACCGTACCTTTCGCTCTAATTGAGTCCCTATACAGAGTCGGTTAGTATTAGGCAAATAAAACAATGTTAAATTGTACGGATGAATCAGATTCCGCTTGTCACATGGTGATATTAGGAGGAGACACTGGAAACCTAAAAGAAACACAAAACACAAAAGGTGATAACGCCGTATTCCGAAATGTTTACAGTGATCCTTGGGTACATTGACGTACAACATCAATTCCGCATATGTCACAGACGCGATACGAGAGAATATGATAGAACAACATCGATTCCGCATATGTCACAGACGCGATACGAGAGTATACAATAGTACAACATTAATTAAATATATATAACAGACGCGATACGAGAGTATACAATAGTACAACATTAATTCAATATATATAACAGACGCGATACGAGAGTATACAATAGTACAACATCAATTCCACATATATAACAGACGCGATACGAGAGTATACAATAGTACAACATCAATTCTGCATATATCACAGACGTGGTACTATACAATAGTACAACATCAATTCCACATATATAACAGACACGATACGAGAGTATACAATAGTACAACATCAATTCTGCATATATCACAGTCGCGATACTATACAATAGTACAACATCAATTCCACATATATAACAGACGCGATACAAGAGTATACAATAGTACAACATCAATTCTGCATGTATAACAGACACGATACGAGAGTATACAATAGTACAACATCAATTCTGCATATATCACATACGCGATGGTATAAAAGAGTACAACATCAATTCTGCATATATAACAGGCGCGATGCTAGAGTATACAATAGTACAATATCAATCCGCATATATCACAGACGCGATGCGAGAGTATACAATAGTACATTTAAAGTTGTAAATATATTACTCTACACGTTTATATTGACGTTTGAACATTTTATTACTCTTTAACTATTTGCATTCTAATATAACAAGATGAGCGGTGTGTGCACAATGTAGTACTACAATATGTAGGTAAAGGTCTGTCACGTGACCTTATTGATGTAGAACAAACTGTGACAGATAAACCGGTACATCAAAGTGTGAGGTATGGATACCTAATACGTCACAGACTTTCAGGAGTGCCGATTTAGCGCTCTCCGGCTTAATTATGACCACTACCACGTTACAAATAGTCTGTCTGTAATATCGCTGTATTTATTACCAAAGAACTGAATTTCACCAGATGTGATGAGCTCATCATTTTGGTTCCTAAGCCGGTGTGACTAAGAATTGTTTGATGCACGGGCAACGAACATGTTATACCCATCACATGGGCGTTCGTTTTATCTACTGGAACAGTTGGTCGAAATCCTGCCGAAATTGCCATTACATACCAAAGCAGATCGATTCTGTAACAGAGGTATATCCAGTTTCGTATATAATCCCCACCCATCCGTCCGTTGATCTCAAGCAGCCCTGGGCCTGTTGACGTCAGCTTCATTTCTACGTTAAAAACAACGTTACGCAGTCCGATGTCAATACAACAGTGGGATGCCGCTGTCCCGAGCTGTGACACTAACGGTTGTGGGAGACCGGATGGCATGGACATCGATGTTTCCATAAAGGACCCTGGTCTTGTAGGACCATTGTCTGAAACAAGGGCGGCAAGTATCTCCCCTTGATAAATAATAACCTCGATATCGTGTTCAGTGCCATCGAAATATTCCATCAACATCATTGGATTCCCATCATCAAGCAAAGTGTCAAGGGTCTTGTTCAAATGGTGCCATCCCTCTTCATCCCGAATCAGCACCACTCCATCCCCGTCTGCCCCATGCTCTGGCTTACATATAGCAGGGAATCCAACAGTCCAAATGGCAGAGCTTAACGTAACCTTGCATATAAACTTAGCAACCCTGCCGGTGTACTTATTCGTTCTCGGGAAATGATGAACGCCATCAGTTTGTTTCTGCAAGTAAATGTGTGTTGAATTTTTCTTCCAAGCATTCGTTGCTCCCGTTACGCCAACACCTCCGGTCAGCTTCAGTTTCTCGCATACAAAAGCAGCAATGGGTCCACATATATCAGTGAATGTACAACACCCGTCGATGGAGAGATCAGCATCTGACAATTTATCAATTATTCTCTCGGCGTGGACTTCGTCCTGTCGATGCTCAGTAAAATCATACTTGATGTATGAATATACATCTTCTGAAGAAAAAGTATTGGGTTTGGATTGAACCAGGACGAGCTGTAAATAGAGTACAAGCTTTGTCAGCGTCACAATAGACACAATACAGTCAGGAGAACAAAGACATATTCAAACAATACCTTCTTCTCAAAGAAAACTACAAACAACAATAACAATGAGAATAAAGTAGAACAAAAACAAAGCCAATATAAAAGACAAAGCTTGCCTTGACTTTATTATCAAATTATCACACTTACAAGAACAGGGAATAATGGGTTATTAATTAGTATGAAATCAATTACTTTGATGCCATAATTCTTCAAGGTGGTCCGAATCCAAGTCCAACTGATCTGTTCGTCGCCAATAACAAGAATGGTTTTGTTGTCCAACACGTGTCGATGCGATGCCGGCAAACTTGTTTTGCATAACGGATACATTGTGTGACACTTCTACGTGGGTAACGTAAAGCTGGCCTTTATACAACGGACATATCTGGTATAGTTTGATTTGGGGATATTTAATCTAGGTATGTGTACAAAATCGTAGAAGTCGTAGAATGAGATTATCTTGGTTAATAGACAATGTCTCTCGTAGGGTCATACAGGAAGGTCTAATGGGACCTAAACCGGTGTTTGACAATAGAACAAGGAAAATATGTATAACAAATCGAGTTTTGTACAGAACCACCAACTTAGATCTCTTTTCATCTTTCAAACCCAGTGTCTTTCTTTTTTTATCCTAACACCTGTATAGTTCTTCATTGGTTTTAAATATTAATTATACAGTAATGTTTCAAATATTTCTTATAATGTTGGTTCATGAACAGTTGGAGTAAAATGCAAAATCTTGCCTTGAAATGGGTCATTTGCCTGATTATGAATGCAAACGTTCAGAGCAACATTGTCCTTTTATAAATAATAAAGATTTCTCATGAAAGCATATTACACAATTTTCTGACGTACCTCATCAAGTTGAAGATGAAACCAGATGTACGGATAAAATATGGAGACAGACATCGATAAGGTATACAAGTTTCAACATACAACGATGGTACGACTGATATTTACCATATGAAGTAATTCATCTTTTAACATTTTTCATTTTGATTTGTATGTAAAATACAGTAGATACTGACCTTCAATGACCACGTCAGCTTTTGTCGCTTGCTGTTCCTGACTGAGAGTATGGCACTATTCTGTATGACCGAAGTCATATTAAGTTTTCGGGGAGTATGTTGTAAGTATATATTGAAAAACCGACATTAAAACGTATACCACATATAAAGATAGAGTTTACGATAAAAACATTATTTCGAATGGTATCAATAATCGTTAATATTAATAAGGATTATCTTGTATAGCGACACATGTAAAAGTGAAGAAATGTCTCACTTTTGTCTGATTTTAATTTCAGACGTATTGGTATGGCCTGGAACATTTGTATTTAATATTTAGACAAGATCACTTAATTCATTATGTTAAATCCAATGTCTTAGGGTAACATTTTTGGTTTGTGTCTCGTGAAGTTAATTTAGTAAGTGTTAATGTCATAATATGTGTCACCACGTTGTATAACCTTGTAAGTCACTTACAGCTGCCGGTGAATGTGTTGCTATCGAGAGTCTGTTGCACTGATATTGCACAGTAAATCAAATTCCAGTATATGAGACTGTATACTGCAATTTACAGTGATACGACCAGTGTAGGAATATAGTTGGTACAAGGTAAACAAACATGGCCGCCAGTCACATCCGATATCAATAGGCTAACTTTCTGGGTTCGTTAGTATTTAGCAATGTATGTCATCGCAAAAAATAAAGCAAATTGACAAATTATGACAAAATAAATTTATTATAAGACGTGTAGGTACCACAAAATTATTGTAAGTGCCATTCTGGATACGAAATTACCAAGTGTGTCAACGTCATCACACAGGGGCTCGGTTTCGAGATTTTGAGTTATGCATAACATCAGTGAATAACCACAACACTACAATTCAGCATTTATAAAACCTTGTAAAAGTCGAGAGTATCGACAAAGTTTTAGAATGTGTATAAATACCCTTTAAAGTGTTGTGGTTCTTCTGTGTTGTCATCCATTACTTAAAATCACGACACGAGCCCCTGTGAACGTCGTCTGCTAGCGATGCTAATCTGACCGACATGGAATCTGTTTCAAACGAAATGTCCTTGGAATCGTTATCACCTTCTGAAAGGACCACTTTAATTAAAAATGTCCGAGTATATATGCTTCTGAAAATAACGTAATATTCCAGTCGATGGAAACATAAGCGTTTCCGAGGAAATAATCAAGTCCGTTCAGCGCCGCATCACTTCAAAAAACATGTAATCTATCAATGCGCGAAAAAACAGCATTAATTTTAAACAAGCAGAGGTTATGCAATAATTTACAATTTTTCAACATATACACACTCATTAGAAATAAATAATAAAGTTAAGTTTGTGTTCAAACCATTTTATGTGCGTGCGGTTTTCAATGATACGAGGGACTATATTATTTCCTTTGGAATTTTCGGCTGTTCTAGGATTTGAACTTACTGACGTCACTGATATGATAAGCGGGAAATTCAAACGTATTTTTGCTTCAGTTACTATACAAAACAAACTATATACATGTAAATGTAAATATAAGCATTGAACTGTTACCAGATGCAGTATACAGTCGATATGAATGCAATAAATATATAAATATATGGTCATATCATAAACGTACATCGCTCGACTGCACAGGTAACACCAGAAAATCGCGTGACAGAAAAAAGAACGTACCACAGCAAGTCTCTGCATAGTTAAATATGTGTGGTGTGAAGATGTATAAGAGTACAGTTAACGTTTAAAGTATATTTTTAAGCATTGAACTGTTACCGGATGCAGTATACAGTCGATATGAATGCAATTTGGGTGACAGATAAATATAAATATAATGTTTATATTTACATTTATATAGTTTGTTTTGTATAGTAACTGAATCAAAAAGACGGGGCGGTGAGGCCGATTAGCGTGTCCTTTTAACTGCCTGGGGCCGATGGGACCGATGTGGTGTATAGGCGACTGTGAATTAAACATATTAAATTTTACATATTGACTCCCGCCTAGGATATACACTGATATGATATATAATGTCATACCTGAGAGTTATGACGTAAATATATCAAAGTGTGACGTCATAATTACGTCAGACCCGGAGAATACCATGACAGGTCCGTGGATAAGGACGTTTCACCGGAACCAGAAAGAAGAAAAGCGTTTGTTCCTGTTCCGCTTTTATTTCATATGTCACCTGGAGAAGCTGAACCCTATTACTATTTCAAGTTGCTTTTCCCTGCAACTCTCACTAGAGAAATCATTCGCCATTCAAACACGTAAGTTGAAATGATAAAAAACATTGCTTTTCTTACGGTCACCATATACTTTTTTTCCAGATACAAGTCTAAAGAGGACGCGAGTTTGACCCTACCCCCATCGGAGAACTACAAGGAACAAATGTAGTTATGGAGCTCCTAAAATAGGCTTCTCTTCTTGATAAAGGGTATCACGTATTCTGTGATAGCTTGTTCACCTCTATGAACCTTGGACACAGACTTCTGCAACATAACACAAACTTTACAGGTACGTATATAGCCTCATATCAATAGCACGGACAATACAGCTTTTTGACAAATTTGAACATATGAGTCGCCGTACGTATCAATCATAGAGGACGGTGTTAGAATTATTTTGTATCACACTTACTGGCTATCGGATTCTTGGAAGGGACAAATTGGGAGAATATGCATATTTTGTAAAGAGGAATGATGTGTATTTCAATAGTTTTACACAATGACACGTCTACTTACCTTTTTACGAATAATAACTTTGCACTCAAAATGAATACATTAGCTTGTATATTAGCACAAATTAAACTGTATTTTACAGAGACTTTAAGGAAGAATCGGCCTATGCCTAACTCCATCAAACATGCGGTCCAGCAAGTTAGCACTGTCTACATGCGACGCGGGGACTGCTTGTGCATGTCTCACTTTGGTGTGGAAGACAAGAAACTAGTACGGGTCTTGTCGACAAGTCTACCTGCACACTATCTTGCATCAGGAAAACCCCGTGCCATTGCCTCATATAATAAGAATATGAGAGAAGTGGATTTGAATGATGGCCTGCTTCATTCCTACGGAAAGCAAAGGAAGCGTCGAAAATGCTTCAGAATTCTCATAATTCCTATATGTGGATAAGGAAAATACGACGCAGAAAGTGAGAAGTCGTCTGCAGTTTATTCAAATTGTAATAGAAGCACTCGCTGGAAAGAAGAAAACCGACAATCCTCGCCGTCGAGTTGTTGCAAAAAAGGCTTCACTCATTGTTTTACCGCAAAAGGAGGAGAAAGACATCTGTGTCTGTTCCTCGCGTATGCGCCATGGCCGTGGATCCGTCGTCGGAGCAGAACAATATGTTCCTTATGTGGGCGTGGACTTCATAGTCAATGCCTTGGAAGACATCTAAATTGATTTGAACAATAGAAAGATTTAATTAACCGGAAATATCACCTTTCCAAACGTTTGTAAATCTCCTCGAACTCTTTCCCTTTTTTTATATTTTCGTCTGTAGATTCTAGAAGACATTTAAAATTATTTCGGTAAAATATATATATTTTTGTGTCAATACTGGGAAAGATATACTGCTGACGTTTAATTGATTAAAATCGCTTATTCTACACCTAGTAAAAATGTTTAATATTAACGAGACTATTTTTCAGCCACATGTCACAGTGTGGCGTTGAATATTTGAATATTTCCATGTCTTTAAAATATTGTGTTAAAATATACTGACGTGTTTGTGAAAGTTGGTATTGATATTTAATTTACAGGAAAGAACTACGGTTACATATAGCTTGAAATCGCTTTCAAAAGTACTGGCAGTAAATTCACCAAAACACTGCAAGCATATAACCGATCAAATTTTAGGCTATACATAGCTCCCGTAAAAATACATTCATGATCGATTTCCAATAAAATTGAAAATACTAAAAAGTAAATGCATTAAAATGTATCCATAATAGAGTCTTTTTTCTCAATTCAAAGATTTGTCTTATACAGTTGTTGATTTCAGCTGTACACATCAGTCAGTACAGAACAGACTTGATTCGTATGGCTAGTTATAATTAAATCAACAGCACTCGTCAGATTAACCATCAACGAATTGACGATAACGAGTGTACATTGTAACAGGTGTCCTATACACGTCCCTGGATATACACAGTGTATTATGACGTCGTAATACTTAGGACGTCACATAATTTGATAAAGAACAAGGGTACCGCGGGGCGGAACAATATACGCCCGACGAATGCCATATAGTGTTATATACTTTCTTACATTGAAATAAGATCGGCATCATTCAAAGAGTGGTTAGCTGACATGCTATAAC